TAACGGAGGTTCATGTGCCCCCTACGCTGCTCTATATTGCAAGAAGAGCATTTGGAGGGTGCACGCAGCTCAATCGATTTGAGCGAACGGGCCAAAGCGTGACGTGGAGAGGGGCATATGCTCGTGCAAATGCTTTTCATCGATGTGATCACTTAGATATGCCGAAGTGGGTTCGGTGGTTGCCACGCAGCCAAGGTGATGATGATCAGTGGGCAGATGACTCCTTTGCTGCCCTCAATTAAAGGCATTGAAGGCACACTCTAGTGGCCAAGTCCCGTAGAGTGTACAAACATTTCCAAATGTGTCCACTGTCCATCAAGCAACTACCCAGAAAAGTCCAAGCAAGAGCGCCTAACACGTGGACTGGAATAGCAATAGGACCGCGCGATACGCATGACTGCAAATGCAGCGTCACTAGTGCCTGCTAGTGCTTGCCAGAGTGTTGACTTGCACCCGTGTGCTGGTCCTAGGAAATCTAGACTAATGTGCAGCGCTGCTTGCATTGTGTGACAGTCTTCTTGACCTGAGTAGTTAGACAGTCCCAGACTTGTAGTGGATCTGGATGAGTACAGTGTACAGAACTAGGAAAACGGCGTTTCACTTCTTCTCACCCTATCACTCATTTTCGGATAGTTAGTGGGGCTTTGCATGGATTGGTTGACCGATCTGGCCACGGTTGAAGGATGCAGTCAGAAGCTATCAGAGGATCAAGCGAGGTTTTTGCAGCATGCGGCATCTAGATGACCCTCCTTGAAGCACGTCAGGCATAGCTTGCTCTGCTGAGCTGTTGGTGAGCTGTGGATGCGTGGCGTGCTTCGTGTGCGACCTCCCCCTTTGGGGGGAGGAATGGGAGGGGCTTACCTTTTGATGCCCCCGTTTTGAACTCTGGTGGTCACCTCCCACTGCACGTCTTTCCCGGTTTTGTGTGAATTCCGGGTTTGATGGCGGTGGTTTTCCCTTACGCTGTCTACCAGGTTCCGCCCCTTTTGCTGCCAGCCTTCGAGCATGCTACCGTATGCAATGTGTCCACCTTTGTACCCCATGGACCATATCAACGCATTCGAATGCATTCTGGACGGTGCACTTGTCTTCGAACTTTGGCTCTACCTTGCCATGTTGCGGTGCTCGGTTTCTTACCTACTTTCATTGTGCCTTTGGCGGCACTGTGATGCCTGCTGCCTTGTGAACATTCCCTGACTCTACACTCCGGGTGCACCTGTCCATGCATCCTCTTTGCATTCGTTGATGGACAAGAACTTCTGAGTGCAATGGTAAATTCATCGCCCCAGTTTCACCCATCCTCGTGCCTTCATGGCCTTATGAGTTACTTTAAAGGTTGCCCTGGCGGTTTTTGTTGGGTTTGTTGGTTGTTTGGTTTGGGTTGTTGTTTTCTGTTTCTGTTTGACTTGCAACTTTGCTTGTAACTCGCTCTTAACTCGACTAAGGTGACTTGTGCAAAACCTGCACACACAGCGCCTCCACTCGTGCAAAAAAAAGTTGGGAGCACGGAGAGGATTCCCTGTTCGAAGGTGGCCCTAGCCCAACTAGTGAGCCACGGGGTTCGCTCTTGTCCGGCTGGGGTGGTTGCCCATGATGGGATTGTCGTGGCCATCTGATAGTGCCGCCAGGGCCGCGGTCAGCTGTGCTCATAGCCGGGCAAGGCCAAAAATGCTTACGCACGTAGAGGCCATAGAGTGACCACGCAATACACAAGTCAAGGGCAGTTCTCATTGGGACTCCAACAAAAGGAGTAAACATAGTCCCATTGATGGCAGCCTCGCTCGGATTGATCGGTGCCTTGGCTCGAGAGACTAATGCGAGGCGACATGCTTGGAGACTCCTTGCCAGCGCCGTTGTGACGGTTGCGTATCGACACGACCAAACCTGCGTTGTATTCTAGGTGAGCTTCAGTGAATAACAACATGCCGATTCCGGAACTAGAGTGAGACCCTGGCCGTGCACACCCCATGAGGTCAGTCCATTGGTGCTGCTGATGAGCCAACTGCAGTAGGTCTTGGACTTCAAAGAGTGTGACTGGTACACAATCATTGTCGATGAGTGCAAAGTGTTGAGCAGGGTAGAGAAAGCGAGCAGCTTCAAGAACAAAAACCCCGGCCCAATAGTATGGAATCCTATGAAGGCCTGCATCAGCATCAGCTCGGACCCAAAGGACTTCAGTTATTTCCTCTTGCGGACCAACTAAGCTTCGGCGAGAGGCCCACCACGCTGCAAAGGCAGGCCAATAGGGGACATCCTCTGGCAATCGATTGTCTACGATTAGATATATCATGTGACTACGTACTATGAGCTCTCGATGCAGCATGAGCGTGTGTATAATGGCAGTCATATCAGGTAGGTCCCCTTCTGCGTCCTTCTGCTGTGTGGCATATCCACGATCCAGCTTGGGCGGCTGTGCTCTGACATCTGACAACACTAGGGCTGGTCTGGCAGAGTCGAGGCCAAGGGGACTACTAAGACGATCAGGCATTTTCAAAGCTGCATCTGCATCTGCTTGGACCTGCGAGACACTGACTGCGGGACTCTGGGCAAAAAGAGCTTGACCAGCCTCTGAAAGCCAGTCTGTTGCAGCCTGTGTGTAGGCTATCGGCACCTGACTTCGATCATCAATACCATCGTTGAGGTCCAACGGATTCGATTCCACCTCCTCAGGGTCTTGCGACATAGGGCTCGAAAAGGTAAGTGCAGTTTCCACCAACTAAGGTTGGCAGTTGCACCGGCAGGCACGAGCGAAGAGGCAGGTGGCTTGGGTGACGGCAGCTAAGGCTGACCCCACTCCTGCTTGCATGGTTCCAAAACCAGCTGTGAGCCAAACATTGCGGTAGAATGCAACTGCAAGGAAGCAGCTAAGCTCTCAAAACGCTATGGAGAGTTCTCCAGGAATAGAACCGTAAGAAGGCCAGAAAAGAAACAGGTGTGCCTGCTCCACAGTTTGTCACCTGGACTCTGACTCCTATGCTTACTATTCATGGTCATCTGCCTGAGGGTGCATTAATGAAAGCAACCAGGCCACGTAAACAAGGCCACACAACTGAGAATGCAAGTCAGTGAGGGGGGTGAGAAGGGCACCCTGCACATCATGCGGCATTTCATCAACAGTTTGCTCAATGTCTTGCACTAATGCTTGCAGACCTTGTACCCTGGCGTGAAGTGCTGTTTCGATCTGATGATGTGTGCGCTCTACTTGGCGTTGGGGAGGCGCCTGCGTCGTTAACTGCGGATCCACCCGGAGTACCTGCTGTTGTTGTCTGTCCTTAAATGTCCAAAATCCTGCGCGCCGCGGTAGCGAGCCTTGGAAAGGGCGTGTTTGTAAGAAGGCTTCAAGAGGGTCCATGGGGGTTACAAATTCCCTGGCTGGCACAGCATCTGACAGGACACTGAGAAGGTGACCCTCATGATGTTGTATGTGCAGGATCATTCTGCGAACCAGAGTTCTCTTTGCACCATAAAGGCTTTGCAACTTGGCATGGTAAAATCTCTTCACGAAAACATGATGCACCTTCCGGGGTGCATCCGAGTGCATTGGTATGGTCCATAAGGTGGGCGACTGCCCTGCCAGCCGACCAAGTGTACAGCAAAAACCACCCTGAGTGTTTCACATGGGCACTGCACGACTTACTGAATGACTGCTAGTGTATACTTGCCTTGCTGCCCGGACAAGATATTCACTTGACTGTCCGCCACTTCGACGTTGTGTGCTACCCTCTGGCCAAGCTGTTTCGGGGTGCACCACGGCGGGGTGGCATCACCTCCCTCCCTCCTGTGGAGGGAGGTAGCTGGGGTCTTCGAATGCTCCTGCCCCTTCGATGTGCCTTTGCTGTTAGCCACCTCAATCTTATAGACAATCAAACACACTGAACACACTGAACAACAATGAAGGCCGCACTGTTAGCAATGAATTGCCCTCTCGCTTGGCGCGTTAGAGCTGCTCTGTCACCAGTGGTTTTCCAGAGCCAAAAATCATGAGCAGGTGAGGACATATGCACATTTCAAATGTATACCCATTGTCTCAAGTGCAGTTAGTCACAGTTTGTCCGATCAGATTGTTCGTGCCTCTTCAAGTGCCATGCAATATTTTGAGCACGGAGAGCACATATTCTTAGTGCTCGGTGTGATGGCCTGCTTAAACAGGCCTATTGACCAAGTGTCATAGCGTTGCCAGCAATCATTTCGACCGCATTTCGAATAGCCCATCTTGTGGCCTTTTGCAGGAATTCATTACCCAATTTCTGTTTCACCTTTGCATGTACATCCAAGAGTCTCCATCATTGTGCTTTTCTTTGTCGGTTTTGTTTGGTTTTGGGGTGTTGTTTGTTTTTGTGTTTTTTTTGCTCGTTGTTTTGGCCCCCCTTCATGATGGAGACTCTACAAGAATTGCACAAGCTGACCTGTGCACTTCCTGCATAGATGGCGGCTCGACTCGTGCAAAAAAAGAAGTACGCATCACCGCCATGTCGACTTCTCCCCATAACAATACGATCCACTCTTAGCAGCACGCCAGGTCTATGGGTCCATCTACAAGGCACCAGTAACAAACCGCAGACAAGCGCCCCTCAATTACCTAGGGGTGCCCTTCTTTCTCTTCCAGACGCCCCTTCCATCAAAAGAAACTGAGAGCCTGTCATATCGGCCCCGACTTCTGCCGTGCAGCGCTTCCACTGCACTCTCGCATTTAGCCCCGATGATCATATTGATGTCTTATTATGGGGGCTGGCTTTCGTCCCCTCCCTTCTCAGGTCGAATTGTTGAAAGCCCACAACAACTTTTGACCTACCACAACATGAATTTTCAAGAGGTCCGTTGTATCATTTTCCGATTGTGTGTCAAAGTGCCGCAAGAAGCTGCATGAAGGTATGCTTGAAACATCAGGCTCAATGTGCAGGAGTTGTACCACTCATTTTGTCATGACTGAGTTGGACATGTCACATATTCAATTTGACCAGTGCTGAAAACACATGCAATGATTCAAGGAGAGCGTCTATGGGGGAACCATCATATACAGTTCCATTGCCAGCGATGGAGCATGTGGCATTGCTGCTGTGCATTTCAGTCCTGCAAGTTCTGACGGCTGCAAAAGTTATTGTGGCGCTTGGCCGGTAGCTTGAATTGACAGCTATTGCTCAAATTGACATTCCTGAAACAAAATCATTCCGCATGCAATTCGCGGCATAAAACGAAAGAGGTTTGTTTGAATGCATGTACAATTGTGGTTAAGGTACGCCCCTCGAGCATTGAAAAAAAACAACGACTTGCACAAGTGCTTGGCAATGGATAGCCGGCTGGTTGAGGAACAGCGGGAGCAACCAAAAAGTCATCCAAAAATTTCATGAAATGCAGTGCCGCATGCTGGTCAAGACTTTGCAAGTGACATGGCAAACATAGCACACACACACATGCATAATTAAACAGGGTCAGATAAAGTGCTCGGTTGAACTTTTGTTCAGACGAAATTTTTGCAATGGGATTTCACATGTCCTGAGCGGATGGTGATTGAGGTGATAATGGCTATGGCTTGTGCACGTTTCGTGTTTGCACAGACACATCTGGTGGCCGGGGAGCAACCTCCAGTACCAACTCTGGATATTGCTCTTATCGTGGTCGACGCTATTGCTCTTATCCTGACACAATTTGAGGGGCTCATTACACCTCGATGCCTTGACCTCTGGTACATTCTTCTTCAGGGCTTAATGATCAGCCCATTTTTTTTCGTGCTTCCTCGAGATGTGATAACGCTATCGAATTGGACATTTGTTTTGAGAGTGATGCTGGCCTTGTCGGCCAGACATGTATTTCTTGCGGTTTTGGGAAACGCAACAGCGTCAATTCTGGTGATGCGCTTAATCGGTTTCGACTCCAGGAGTGCTCTTTTCACAGGTGAAATTACGAAGCTGACTTTTCTACTGCTATTTGTATTCTCCATCCGCCAGCTCATTTTCCGAGATGCCAAAGCGACAGTGGAATTGAAAAGTAGAAGCATTGAACTTGAAGCTGTTTCATGCCTGCTACGTGGTTTTTGTGATGCTGTCGTGGAAGTTGACGAACAGCTCCGAATTGTTGAGAATTCACAACAGCTTTTGACAATGCTCCTCAGATCGAGCCACAGCACGGACTTGGCAGGGCGGAACTTCCTGAGCCTCTTTTGCTCAGATGACAAACCCAAGGTGAGCGACTGCCTTACCAGTGTCAGCACCAGTCACACGCATGCGCTCAATGCGCGTATTTTGGATGGTGATGGGAACAGCGTGAAGGTAGAGCTCTTGCACATACGATTCCTAACTGCAGAAGACTGCGTTCACAGAAACTCAGCATCAGCTAAAACCTTTGGTTTTGTGTTTCATGACATTCGGACTACAGAGTCTGCCCCATATGGTGACATGAACAAGCAGTGTTTGCAGGGTGGCAGAACTCCAAGGTATGTACACGCACGTGTGAATGGTTTTTTGCACATCATAATGTTCTCGTGTTGCTAGACACCAGTCTTGAAGGAAGCGATCTCAAACGAATTCCCTTCCGGAACAACCCACACCACCTGCAGTTTTGTTCAATTCACAGTCCAACTTGTTTTATTTCCGACCACAGAGCTGGGTCATTCTATCTTTGACTTTGTTCCTTTGAAGAGGCTTGGAATCCAGAGATCTGGGCATTTTGGATTGGGTGTTGCAGTTGCAGCTAGCCCCAGGTGATTGGGAACTCTACTCCCATGAGCGCTTTTAGCAGGGGGCGAAGAGATCGGGGTTGTTAGGCCTTCAGGGCGCAGAGGTCTCACGACAGAAAACTAGTGCTGCGATTTCTGCAATCAGTGGCAATGTGTCCCATTTAGCATGGCATTTTACTATCACTATCCTGGAAAGTCTAGCCATTGAGGAACATCCCTAAAAGCCAAGGAATCAAGGAGTCAAATTGTTGCTACTCTACCCTTACCCTTGTTTTATTCTTGAGGACAGCAGTTAGTTTACAGTTTGGTGCATATGGATCAAAGGCAGGTGAGGCGAGACATTCCAGATTTGATGTCCTCTCAGGGGCAGATGTTTTTTGTTTTTCAAGAAAAGTCATAAGAAAAGACAAGACATGTGCAACGACACGTAAGATGCACGCACGACGGACAAGTGGAATAACATATAGTCACATAATTGCAATATGTAGAACCTTTAGTTGCCCGAGTAGACGTATTGCAGAGGATGTTCACTTTTGCAAGTTGTGCAAAGTCACAGTGCAAGGACTGGTTGGTGTCCGCGAGTTTCAAGACGTACAAGATGTGGTTGGTGCTTTTGGCGCTTGTGAGCTTCAAGAGAATTTGCGTGGGACTTCTGATTCAGTTCCAGCCTATGCTGCGAACGTTGAATCGGCAGAAGCTTGTTCGGTGCAGCACTTTCGTATTGTGGGAGCAGATTAGTTGCCCTTCAGGGCAATAGTCAGTCAGAGAATACTTGGTTGTGAATGAGTGCAAGTCTCGGTTGCATCAGGCATGGGATCGTAGCAACTTCCTTCCTCAAGATTTGCACACATGTCTTTGATGACATGTTTTCTATTCCCTCAGAAGGTACTCTTGGACTACTCTCCACCCTATCATCAAGCATGAGCAAGGAAGTCCGACATCGTTTTGTGACCAGTCTTTCGACAAAGATGCGCCTGCAAAATTGGCACAGTCGTTCCCCTTCAGAGTTTGGTGTCACAGACCCTCCGTAGTGGTCGAAGGAATGGACTTGTTGGACTAGCTTCCCACAATTCAAGTTTACTTGAGATATCAAGGTCGACCGAGAACATGTCCTAGTTCAGGGGGTCTTTGCTGCAGTGTACATAATTGTTCAGCCCGAACCAAGCAGCTGACTGTCAAGGAATTGCACGCAAGAGACGCAAGAGAAACATGCAGGGAGACAAGATCAACGACAGAGACTTCGACATCAGACGATCCTATGATTCTGCTACCAAGATTTGAAATTGTTTGGAAAGTGAATCATTGGAACTGTTGGCAAGTGCTTGTGCTGCTATCCAAGCTGTTGCCGAGGTTCGACCTGGGATCTTTCACTATCTTGCAAGCAAACAAACCAGCCCGCCAGTTTTGTGGAAAGTTCCTTGCCTGACAAGTTTGGGATGCAATCCCGATTTGCTCTTGCACTCCTCAAGATGCTGCAATGTGGGGCTAATGTGGGGGTGTGCTTCCGAGGTGTGCTGGTGCTCCTGTAAAGTTTTCCAAGATGAGTATTTCGGACCTGTCTGCAGACCTGAGCTTTGCGCGCTTGTCCAATCAGATTCAAGATCCTTGATGGCAGGAGTGTAAGGATCTTTGTTTTGGTAGTAGTAAAGCTACATCCTATTGATGTTCTGTTGCCAACCTTAGTTCAGAGCGTGGCATTCCTCGTCGTGCCAAGCAGCCAAGTGAATCTGATGACCGGGCTTATGGTTTACATGGTTGGCCGAGAGGTCTTTCTAGCCTCTTGTTTGCTCCGAAGACATTCCTGCTTGGAAGCGAGGATCGGGTGAATGCAAATCCCGAAGCAGCAGTGCATGAGTTGGACCTTGGTGCCATATTGCTTTTGAACAGGATGCAGGCCAGACCCCTCTGCCAAGAAGCACACTGATTGTTTTGAATTCAAGTCCAGGCTTCGCATTGTTTTGCTGCTACTGGCTTGTACAAGTTTTGCAGGCTAAGGCAAGAATCCGCGCCGAGTATGATCCTTTGCTGGATGCCTTTGTGGGGACTCTATTCATAACTCCAGTACCTCTTCCAGAACTTACCAAGGCAAGGGTGTTTCATTCTGAAAGAGGAAGATCCTCCATTTGGTTTTGCTTTGATTCCCAGAAAGATTTGGCAAACTTGATAACGTCTGATTGCACAGGTTTGCAATTAGATTGGATTGCAGTTCTTTTGCCCCACTAGGCCAACATTGACCGTTTGGGCCATGGGAGTCCTGGCAAGAAGCATCAGCGGCGCCGTCGAAGTTGGAGCAGTAGCAGCAACTTGGCTTAAGCGGCTTAACCGGAACTTTTCATTATCCATTTGACTTAGAACAGTGCCAGTAGTCCAATCCCATTCTTGCTGCACACTATAGGTCCTTGTCATTGCATTAGGATGCATGGGGTCCCTTTCATTTTACAGTACATAATTGGCTGTCAATTGGCTGTCAAGACATGTCACTTGACTAGGTGGAAGCAGCAGTGGCAGCATTTTGAACTTGCATAGAGCTATTGCATTGTAGTAGTTTGTCCGACAAGTACAAACATGTACTTCAGAGCTTTGTTGCAATTCGACCTTGTGCATGGCCAGAGAAAAACATGAGCAGAAAGATGCCTCATCACTGCATGGCTCGGCTCTACTTGCGTCATTTGTTGTGTCATTGGAGGCAGGGCTTGTTTCGCCAGATACTATGCAAGTATTCACTGTCTGTTCTTTCGGCTGCAGTACATCCACTGTCATTATGAATTATATCAGTTCTCCAATAATTAACAGTACATAGTGGCATTAGCTTCTTTGATCTCCCACCGTGAACTTCCCAGGTTGCCGTCTCTCACTCTCTCTCTCTCTCTCTACAGTGCATTTGTACAAGGGATTCGAAGGTCCTTGGTAGCTGCTTCAAGTTGGGGCTTGGTAATTCAAGAGGTTGTCGCGCAAGGACTTCAGGCAACCGATGAGCAAACAGGGCTTGATGAAGCTCTTACAGGCACTTTGCATCCTGACAGCGCAGGTAGGGTCACTTAGCTCCTGGTTGATGCTCGAAAAAGAAACACGATCTTCTTCTTTGAGCTAAGTGACTGACATGCATTGAGTGACTGAGTGACTGATGTGAGGGCGATCCTGTGGCCTTGGAGCGGAGACCTCGTTCACAAGAAGCAAATCAGAGAGAATCAGACGAAGCTGAAGCTGTCTCTTGAGGCCAGACTTTAATTTGGTTTCCTTTACGCCTGAGGACCGTCGTTAACTCACGAGTTGTAAATCTTACCGAAGAGAAGAATCCAATTTGCAGCACCTGAGGATGGCAGCACCTTGAGTGGGCGCCAGGCCCTGCGAACAAAGACACCAGTTTAAACTTGTAGCATTCTTTCTAAAGAGAACAGCTGGTTTTGCTTCTAGTGCGCAAGACATGGGAACCAAATGAATAGCGTGAGCTATCCTGCGCCCTAGCTAGTAGCTACCTCTTACTGCTTGTTGGCTACCGCCTCATTCAGCGACCCCAGAAACATCGAAGTGAGGCCTTGACGGCAGTGTTCAATCTTGCGGCCAGCTGCCCAATTCAAGCGCTTGAATGTTTCACGAGTTGAAGATTGTAAAATGAGCATATATCACTCTTCCTGAACTAAACCTTCCACTCTTCAGATATCACGTGAACAAGCCTTTGATAATCTGCCCGCATTCCTGAGGTCATACCGTTGGGAGCAGACCTGGGAGACGGACCGCTTCCGGAGGCAACATTTTGTAATGACTTTGGCTGCTTCCAGGCTAGATCGCTTGATCCTATTGCTTCACAAGAATACAACAAACAACCATGACTTTGCATCTATTTTGCCCAGGACTATGTGCCCTTCATTCTGCAGGAGCACTACTTTGTTCAACCAACTTTAGAGATTTGGTCCAGAAGGTTTTCATTCAGGCCCAGATCTCAATGCTGTTTAGAAGTCAAGATGCCAGGGTGCAGAGGTGCCTGGCCATTTACGGTGGGTCAGTTCAAGTACAGCCCGCAGCCATCTTACTTTGTAGTGCCTTTTTTGATGAGGTGGGAGGTCAGGATATGCCTGTGCAGCCGCATTTGACACTGAGGCTTTGATCCATTTGTGGACTGGCCCAGTGATCTGAAGGACAGCTCCACAGCAAATTGCTAACACATTTTCTGAATGCTATGTGCCGCAGAACTGCTGACCAGAATAAAAACACACTTTGACTCTTGGTTTCGAGCTTGTGTGAGTGTGTGGAGTGTGGCCACTTGTGGCCACTCTTGCACTTTCCACGTGGGCAAAAGACCTGCCCACAGAGGCCTAAGTTGATCACTGGTGGGGAAGCCACATGGGAGCGATCCCAATGCAAGACAGACCTGATGCACTGTACCTCTACCTGAAACAGCCCGACGACTCTATAGGGAAGAGGAGCGTGATTACCGAACATCACAACGCTTCTCGGATTCTGCGCTGATTATCCTGGTACGTGTTGGAGGCGTCCCTCCAAGATATCCTCACTAGAACACTGCCAGCCTAGTTGGTGGAGAAGCAGTTTGGTGTTTCCACCCCTTGCAACGGAAATTTATAGAACATGCAACATGCAAACACATATTTGCTTCGATGATCATGTATATAAGCTAGGCTGAAGTTAGTTTGCGCGAACTAAGAGCAGGGTTCAGGGCTGTGCGGGGGACCTAACCAAGTTACTTTTGTTAGCAAGTCTGTGATGCAGAAGATGCCAGCTTTATCGGAGTTAGCTGGGCAGAAAGTGCTAGCTGCAACAACTGCATAGTCAGCATCATGAAGAGAAACATATATAGTCGAATGATGTGAAAACAATTAAATTCTTATTGTTACTAGTAGTGAGGCACTTGTTCCTAGTAGCTTCTTGTTACTACTAGTAAGGCACTTGTTACTAGTAGCGATGCACTTGTTCCTAGTAGCGTCAAATATATAAGTAGTCTAATGATGTGAAATTCGTATTCTGAAAAAGGTAAACAGTGATCAGCATAGGGTTGTACATCTGGCTGATTCCATCATTACAAGACAGAAACATTGCGCATCTCATTTTGATGTATGCTGAACAGGATGTAACCCTCCAGTTCAATACCAGACTGAAAAGTCCACACCCAAGCCCACTTTTGAACAGCTGCTTTCGAACAGCTATAGTGGTGGTTCACCTTGTGTTGCAAGGTGTGAGCGGAAAGAGCTTGAAAGAATTCCCAAAGATGCCTGTGGCCGAGTCTTTGGATTGTCCTACCAGCACTATTTGTTCCGCTGCCGATCAAAACCAAAGCTCTTGAAGAAACAGCCGTGCTCCCGAAACCAGCCTTGCTCTCAAGATTTAACAGACAAAAATGTGTGACCAATGCCGCTCAGGCGGCACTTCTCCACAGCTCCTTTGACTTTCTGGGCAGCAAGCTTACGCTGGAATTAGATCTGACAACGGGCAAACCTCCAAGCGCAAGCGGAGGGTTTAAGACACTCAGGTGTCCTTTGACATTTGAGCACACCTGACATTTGAGCAACACCCATGAGTCCATTTCAGCAGTTGACCATGCCAGAAAACAGGTGATGGGGTGGTTAATGTAGAGTGAGCAGATTATCGCATTTGCCTTGCAATTTGGGCAGACAGCATCTCCACACATGGTTTTGAGCTTTTTGCCGTCAGTTCTTATGCCCAGAGGAGTTCATGCGCAACGGCAGAAACCGAGGTCCGCGAAGTGAGATCAGAAATATGTGAGAATCTCACAGACAATAGCTGGAGCTCGTCTTTGGAGGCGTTTACAGAAGTGCCGCAGACTCACTTTGCTGCCCTTGCTGCTGAGACTTGCAAGGCCAGAAAGTTCAAGCCCAAACATGCACACGTTTGAGCCTTATGTCTTGTGAAGAGTTCAATCAATGCGCCAAACTTTTGGACCACTTTTGTACTGACTATAGTCGCCACCACCGGGTACTGATAGCCCTACGTGCTGAGTTACTTGCAGAGCTGAAAACATGGTGTTTGCCACTTTCAATGCTGCGATACGATATGTTGCGATGATTTGCCGCTTCAATTTAGTTCCTTTCGCTTTGCATTCCTCATATTTGCCATTCAGGAATGTCCGTTTGACGCAAGAGTACTCATCAGCTTCAACTTTCCAGTGGAAGTGAAAAGGCAGCTTTCCCACGATTGATTTCAGCAAGGTATGCGCACTGTTTATCACATGATGCACACATTGTGCAAGGTTTGTGGCTGAGCCCTCTATGTTTCAGCTAAGAGAAGGCCAGCATTTGCTTGACACATGAGTTTCAAACTGACTAGAAGCTCAACCTTGGTGTTGCAGTCGATTCCTTCTCCCTTTGTATCCGATCTTCGCCGCAGATGGGATGTTTCTTTCTCACACGACGCCAATTGAAGCAATTGCGCCATGCGATGATGAGGTGCTAGGCTTATTATTAGCATGAACGCCAAGATTTCATGCTCATTCATATTGAGGCAAAAGCCTGATCTTTACGTACAAACAGCACCACTCTGTCCAAGCAACAATGAGCAGTTGTAGGTGCCGAAGCCTTTACATTTGGAAATCGAAGAGCCTGCCGTTGTCAACCAGTCTAGATGCCTTCAACTCAGCTTGCACTTCCGAGGAAAATTGAGACTTCACTGCCGCATCACACAAGAAGATAGTTATAGTTTAGCAATCGAATAACATATGTTGAAATGGGACCTTGAATAGGGGCACCAGGAGACTCACGATGTATTTTAAAAGGAATACCCAGCCATTTCGGGCAAGATCGTAAACTCGCTGAGCTCATATGTATAGCAAGCGTGCAGCCCAGGACATCTAAGGGCATCACAGGCCTTGCGTTGGACACACAAAGTCCCTCTAAGAAGTTACCCATATATCGCACTACCGAGGTTACATGTAACTATTTAGTAGGTTAAGGTCGTAGAAAGAGCTATCAATCTGTAAATACAAGTTTCCAAGCAAAAAGGTTTGGGTGTAAGCTCTGGATCAATCTTCCTCCTGCACACACACAAAAAAGACTCGGGAAAAGAGTTCGTACGAAAGCCGCCATACCAAAGACCAATGAAGGAAAGGAAAAACCTGAGTGAAAGACATGTGTCAGATTAACACCGACCTGATGGCACCTAACAAGCCTGTTATGAAAAAACAAAAGAACGGAAAACAATCCAACACAGAAGAACAGAAGAGAAGGAAGACAGTGGTTCATGACACATCATGTCAATTTCATTGCACAAAGAACATTTGCCCCACATAAACCACCATGAAAGCAAACAACAGCGAGAACAACAGCAAACCAGTTAAGCAAGGAGGTCTTTGTTGGCCATCGCTCCTCTGGGACCTCGGTGCCCCCCTGCAATCTGATTAAGTCTAAAAAGACGCTTTTGACTAAAGCTCCAGAAAGGACAAATCCCAAACTACAGGGCTTCTAAGGGGGCTTTTCTTGTAGCTTGAGATTGTGTTGCAGCAGTTTCATGTTCTTTGAAAAAAGATAGGTTGAGCATAGGTTGAGCATTTTAATGGCAATGCCACACATGGTCAAAGTAGATAGTTACCTATATACTATTGCCTGAACGGAGGTAACTTCCAGTGCTCCTTGCATTGGACATGATC